CGGGGGGAAAAAAAACTGTTACCAACTTACCACACATTTTCAACAGAGAAGGCAAATTAGGGCCTCGCCACACCGCAGTCGAAAGGCGCAAAAATTCGACGGCTGTCAGAACAAATTTGACAGCCTCCATTCAACAGTTTGCCCGCCTTTAGCCACACAGCACTGTAGAGTGCACGCACTTGTGAATGCAAGATGGAAAAAGACGAACGGGCCAGAGGGTACGACAAGCATTAGTCCATCCCGACCTTAACCCCCCTCACCGAATTTCGAAGAGAAGTCGACGGCGCAGCCGAGGAGTGTCGAAAGCATGGGAGTAGCAGGCTGGGGATTCAACAACTCTCGACAGGAGCTGTCAAGAAGCATGCTCTGACAACTGGAGAATGTTTTTCCCGTCTCCGACTTCGACAGCCTGTGTGGCGAAGAGAAACTGTCAAAAATTGCATTTTCGACAGTGGTGCGGCGAGGCCCTTAGTAATTACCATTACGGGTGTTACCAACCAAGTTACTGTCGTACACACCATCCTCCGTTTAAAAAAAAAAATAATAATTACCGTTACGGGTGTTACCAACCAAGTTACTGTCGTAGGCACCATCCTCCATTTCAAAAAAAAAAAAAAAAAAAAAAAAAAATCTGTCGTAGGCACCATCCTCCAAAGAGGATGAAAAAGAATACGAAAGAGACAAAGCAAATTTAGTTTAATTTACGAAACTGACCAAATTTCACCAAACAAGACCAAAAAAACGAAAACGAAGAGCACAACTGAGTGCACATGGCAATCAACAGAAGGCCCAAAACCTGCATGCCAGCAAGAAAGTCTTTTAACTTTCAACGCGCAGAGGAAAAAAAAAAAAGAAAAAAGAAAAAAGAAAACGAAAAAGGTAAGGTACGAAAGTTTATCAACTTTCAACAAGCAGAGGAAAAAGAAAAAGACAACGAAAATGGTACGGGGCCCACTGAGAGGGAGAGTTTTTTACTCGGATCAACAACGTGTATCCTCCTCCTCCTCCTCCTCTCTCTCTCTCTCTCTCTCTCTCTCTCTCTCTCTCTCTCTCTCTCTCTCTCTCTCTTCCACATGCACACACAAGGTCAACGTATGCTGTAAAATTTCATCTCTCTACGCTCGCCAGAATGTGTACTATGTGTGAGTGTGAGAGAGAGCGACCAACAAAGGGGGCAATCCCATGACATGCCCCCCCCCCCCCCCCCCCCCCCCCCCCCCCCCCCCCCCCCCCCCCCCCTCGTCCTCTCTCTCTCTCTCTCTGTGTCTCCGTGACACTTTCTTCCTTCCTCTCGTTCGGTGTGTGTGCCTTCATGTCTGTCCTCCTCCCCTTCTGAATGCACACACACAGTCAAAGTCAACGCGTGCTATCACGATTCCTCTCTCCGAACAGCCAAGTGGTGTCATCGCCACCACCATTCGTCAGTGATTATCTGCACGCAGCTGCGTGTTTCCAGCACTAACCACATCATACAGGCTGCAAGGACTCCGGCACTCGATTGCTGAAGGAGGGCGCTGAAGAAGAGGAAAGTAAGGTTGGATGGTGATTATGGAATGAACCTCCAGATCCCTCAACCTCCTCCTCACACCGCACAATGCAACTTAGTTCCCAAGTCGTTCTTCGGCACTCCTCCTCGCAGGCGGGCGCAGCGAAGCAGAAATCTTCTATGTGTTGCTTGGTGGCGCAAAAAGTTGTGTGCTCTTTCTCTCGACATGTGATCGCGCCGTATGATAAGGATGGTGGCTGTTCCTGCTCCTTCCAGACTTCACTCTGCTGATGCTCCCATTGGCTTATGCAATCCAGATGAACCCTCCCTTTTTTGGGCCTCTTCAGCCTTCGGAAGGGGTTCAAAAAAGACCGATAGTTACCCCCCCGATCTCGATAACTGACTTCAAGACCCCATGTTCCAAAAACATTCATCCCTCCCCCCCCCCCCCCCCCCCCCCCCCCCCCCCCCCCCCCCCCCCCCYCCCGCCCCTCCCTTGTCCCTTTCCTAACTATTCACATACCTGTTTCATGCCTCAGCTTGACAGCAAAACTCTGCAGAACAGAGCGACATGTTAAATTCGTCTATATTGTCCTACCGTCTTCAACCCCGAATAGAACACCCAGTACTTTTCGCCCTATCTGGACTGGAAGCCGGACCAAATACAGCTATAACGACCGGGTGTTCTATTTGCGTGAAGCCGGTAGTCTGCTGCGGTTCGAAGAGCATATATGATGTGCTTATGCGCTATGCGCACGAGCGATTGGCAACAACTCAGCGAACCTACGCAGAGACGCTGAGACGCGGAGACACGGAAAGAAATGAGAAATGCAGCAGTTGGGGGAGTGGGGGCTAGTTACATGGGGAAGCCAGAGAAGGCAGGGCTGTAGTTTACAAACCCCTTCAATGTGGGGCTGTATTTCACAAAACCCCTTCAATGGGGGTCTGTATTTTACTGCAGGCCTGGTATGATTTTCCCCCTCCATAATGAAGGGCTGGTGTTCTTCTCACTGCAGGCCTGATTTTGACTGCAGAGCACAGGGCCTCTTTTTTTTTCTTTTCTTTTCTTTTCTTTTCTTCGCCCTTTCACATCTGCAGAATGCAGGGCTCTCTGTTGGAGTAGAAAGCAGGACACAGCCACCATTCTTTACCGTCATCCTCCTCCCCCAGGCCTGCGCCGCGCCGCAGGCCTGTACGTTGGCAGATTTCCAAACCCACCTAGAGCACCCCCAGCTGCAAAACAAACACAAGGAATCATTCCAATAAACAGGTCATCAGGAGTTACATTATACTTCCAATAAACAGGCCATCAGGAGTTCAAATCCACCTAGAGCACCCTCAAAGAGAAAGAGTACTAATTGACTGTAATTCCAATAAACAGGTCATCAGGAGTTGAAATCCACCTAGAGCACCCCACAAGGAGTCAAGTTCCTTTTCAGTTACAAACATAAAGGAGGCCCTTATAGTGCCAATAAACAGGTCATCAGGAGTTCCTTATAGTTCCAATAAACGGGTCTGGAGTTCCATAAGAGTTCCAATAAACAGGTCAGGAGAGTTCCAATAAATGGGTCAGGAGAGTACCAATAAAGGGGTCTGGAGTTCCGTAGAGTTCCAATAACAGGTCAGGAGCTAGGCTACCAGAGTGGCCTGGGTCCACTTGCCCGGCTGGGCCAAAAATAAATAAATAAATAAATAAATAAATAAATAAATAAATAAATAAATAAATAAATAAATAAATAAATAAATAAATAAATATCGTCAAATAGAACTGCCCGGTAAACCGTAGGCAGAGAGGGAGAAGAGGACAACAAATATATATTTATTAATTAAAAACTTTATTTTAGAGTTGGCAAAGAATTTGAATGTGACCCTGAGGCAAAAGTTGTTCAGTTTATTTTTCTGCATAACATAGAAAACTTGATAGATCATAGAAGCTTTTTTCTTTTTTCTTTTCTCTTTTTTTTTTTCTTTTTTTCTTTTTTGGCTGGGACCTTCCCTAGTCCTTGCACGGCCGGGCCGCCCGAGAAAAAAAGGGTGACCCGGGCGGCCCGGCTGGTAGCCTAGGTCAGGATTTCAGATCCGTCTACAGCACCTCCAGCTGCGAAACAAACACAAGGTATCTAGACACCACCACCACCACCAGCACCACCACGAACGTCAGCAGCTCAGGAGTGCCAATGAACGGTCATCAGGAGTTCCTTATAGTTCCAATAAACAGGTCAGGTCCAAAGTTCGATGAAGTTCCAATAAACAGGTCAGGAGTTCCATTATAGTTCCAACAGCCAAGGAGTCAAGGTCCTCTACAGTGCTTTTTTTTTTTTTTTTTTTTCAAACATCAAGGAAGGAAAGAAAGGAACATAGGAAAAGACAAGCCTGGACGTCTGGATCGGGATCCAGACGATCCAGTATGGACGTATCTGTTTCATACAAGTATGTTGCGAATAGCCACGCTCGCCAGAGTTGGAACATTTCAGGGAGCATGGTTCACACACTGTTTCTAAAACAGTACGCATTACCTCAACACTTCGTGTCCAGCAATTCGGCGGAGATGTCCGAATTGCTGCACATTGTACCTGGAGGCCCACAGGACCGTTTTTTCGGCCTGGAAGCCTCGAGTGACTTCATAGAGGTGCGATCTATCATTCCCCCAGCGTCTTCGTGGGGGCCTGGATTAGGCGCTAGCTTCTTATAGGTCCGCATCCGGTGTCCGGTTTGGGGGTTCCGGTTGGGCCCCATTTCTAGAAAATTCGGAAAAAAAAATTGGGGTCCCGACTCCCCAGGCTATTTTCCAGTGCCTGGTGGACCACCGAAAATTGTTGGCGCAGTTTTTGGGGGACGGTTGGGCCCACTGGACCCCCCCTCAAGGGCCTGTACTTGCAATACTTGGGTGAGCTTCAGCAGGCCAAGCAGAACTGGTCGTGTGTGTGTGTGTGTGTGTGTGTGTGTGTGTGTGTGTGTGTGTGTGTGTGTGCGCGGCATTGTGTGTGTATGCAAGTGTGTTCAAGATAAGTCGGATTATACAACTATACAGCAGTGTGTGTATGTTTTTTTTTTTTTTTTTTTTTTAACCGGACATCTGGACCTGTTCATTCATAAGCGGACCGCCCGGGTCCGTATGTCCAGTTGTCCTGATCACTGTGCGGATTATCGGACGTCTGGATTAATCCATTTACAGGTCCGCGCCCGGTGTCCGGTGTCTGGATGTCCGGGTCCGGAGCAACCATGCATGTAACTGTGTTAATAAACAGGTCACGAGCTCCAATCCTGACGGAATTGGACAGTTACACTAAGGTAAGGGCCTACGTCCTACAAAGAAAAAGAGGGAAAAAAAAAACACAGAAAGGGACCTAAGAGGCGAAGATGCCAAGCTCCTGGATTCAGACAAACTTTGACTAATAATCAGAACTTCATAATGTCCTTGAGAAAAAAAAAGAGAATGTGAGGATGCAGCCTTGACAGACCCCTGAAAACTTGAAAACTTCACCGCTACAAGACGGCGCAGTAATGTGCCGTCTTCCCCTGAATAGCACATACAGTCCAGTCAATATCGCCGTATCTGGACTTGAAGTTGTCCCGAATACAGCTGTAAAGGGGAAGATGCTAGCTGCCTGCTGGCTGAATGGTACACTACCGCCCACATGTAACCAGTGATTAAAACAAGACCATGAGCAATTTTTCTTAGGCCCTACCCCCCGTACGCAAAATACAAACAAAGGGCGCGCGCGCGAGAGAGAGAGAGAGAGAGAGAGAGAGAGAGAGAGAGAGAGAGAGAGAGAGAAAAGACCTTTCCCCACCATTCTCAGCTTCAAGCAACAAAGAGGCCTTCTTCAAACAAATGTGAGAGCAATAGCGAAGTGAACACACATTAACCCTACTGATACACATCGGGACCAAGCTCTTTATTATGTGTTACGAGTGCGAGGAAAGAGCCTCGCAGAGCCCTTATCAGACATCAAGTGTTCCGGACAGCAGCCCCCAGCACAGCAAGAGTCGTGCCCGCCCTCAGTGAAGGCGGGCCTGAATATCCACGTGAGGCTTGTTCCCTACAATATTTCCATATGTGGGTACTCAGACAGTTGCAGCACGCCAGTTGGTTACAGAGCAACGTGAGCCTTCCCTGGCTCCTTCCAGAAGCAAAGGGGCTGCGCTGTACAGTTGAGCCCAGGGCTCCAAGGGATGATGAGGGGATAAGAGAGAAACTACCTGGTGTATGCTGGTGATCGGCATTGGTGTTGACATCACGTACATTGGTCTTCAACTTCAGAGTGATCCAGTTAAGAACGTAAAGTGCACTTTTGGCTTGCTGTTTTATATGTTTTTATTTTTTATTTTTTATTTTTTTGTTTTTTTTTTAACAATAAGTTAGTAAGAAGTGCACTCTATAGATTGGTTTGAAATATGGTTAAAATGGCCCTTTGGTTTTCTTATAAATGGGGGTGAAAATTTGGGGGTCGGTTGACCTTCTGTCGAGATAGGCTGAGTAGGATAGGCTGGGCGCTGGGTGCCAGACATTAAGTGCCACATTGGATATACAGTGTCGATGTGACCAGAGAGTGGCGACATCGACACCTGAGTTCATTGTATTGCGCTCTTATTTGTACGGCATTTTGGTGCATTGCACTCTCTGCTTGGTTGATGATTATCTGCGCTACTTCGTGATTTTGCAACTTGGATTTCTGTCTATCGCTCTCGCTCATATTCCTTGCACAGGCTTCAACTTTTAAAATATTTTGGTCTTATATGTTTTGGGGTCTTCATCTGATTGACATGGCATTGGTGGCTCCTAGGACAAATACAAGGGTGCCCGTCAGGGCACCAGCCGAAGTCGAGGTACAAGGAAGCCTCGTTAATTAAGATGGTAACAGGTTGGCAATTGGAGGGCCTGCCAGGTGGCAGTGTGGCGCACACCCACATAAAGCACTCCTGACCGCTTATGTGTTCTATTCCTGCCCACCAGATCATCACAACAGAACCCCCCCTCTGAGACCGCCCCCCCACCCCCATCTCACCACCACCACCCCCAACCCTGCCCCCCCCCTGCACCCCCCTCTTTTCATTTTTCCTTTTCCTGCAGCGCTACATTTCCCAGCTTATTAAAAGGAGGAGGAGGGAGGGAAGCCTCCATCCATGGCCTCATTCAATTTCACACTAGCCAACAACCCTTCACTCGCTACCTGCTTCAGCAATGGATGAACAAATCAAAAACATTTAACCATATTTATAAAAAAAAAAAATTTAAGGAAATTTCAACAGCGCAATCAATGCACACAAAGCAACCAACAAAATAAAAATACAATATAAATCAACACAGATTCAACAGTGCAATCAACACACACACAGCGACAAAAAAACAAAGAAACAGTAGGGAAAACGTAGGTCACAACAACAAATTGAATGCCGTACAAAACCCTAAATCCTAAGTTCACGACGGTTGGTTTCCAAACCTGGAGGTCTTGGTCTTGGTCTTTGTTCCGCTGGCTGTGTCGATGAGCGCGACGATGACGATGTCTCTCCGGTCCTAGCTGCCGTCCGTTCTCTCTCCTGAGAGAGTTGATTGCCATTATTCTCCTCCTCTGCCTTCTGCAAGTAGGTACAGCCAGATCATAAAGAAGACAAAAAAAAAAAAAAAAAAAAAAAAAAAAAAAAAAAAAAAAAAA